ATGTTAATTGCATTCATTAACATTTTATTTCAGCCCCACACAATCCCCCAGCAGCTAGAATACACAGGACTGAAAAAAACAGTTCATTTCTTTTTATTAAATATATGAATTATTTATGGATTTTAATGTAAATCATTTATATGAACACCGAAACAATTAAACATGATTGAAATGTTATTAAGTTAAATGAATTGTAGCTCCTTAACATGCAGGTAGAGTGGTCAATCCTGTATCTTAAATATAAACAAGGGAAAACAAACAGAGGATATGTCTGACCCCAGAGTGCATTTGATGCCTTGTTTTCTTATTGGATCAGTGTATTCAGCTGCTCATGCATGGCCCCTCATTTTCATGCCTTACAGATGTGCAGTTCCGGTTATCTTTGAGTACTTTCATGCTTCAGGATACGTTTTTTGAGGGCGGGGGTTTCTTTGTTTTTAAAGGTTGAAAGAGCCAACCTAACTCTGCTAAATTGTACAGCATGCAGTACCTCTGCAGAATGTAGCACTTGTGTTTTAAAAAACATGAAGAGGTAGTATCAGGAAACCTACTATATAAACATGATTTATCATTAAGATTGTGATATTTGTGCCAATTGACCAATATTTTCCTAACTTTGCACAAATCTACAGATTAGGTTCTAACCTAGCACTTCAATTGCTTTTAGACTGACTATTTTCAATATTCTAATTAAAAATTCTTCTTTTACGTCAAATTTATTTGCTCAAACCGTACAATTAACAACATTATGGATGATTAATTTAAATTACAGAAACCAGATAACAGCATAGTATAAAAAGACTAGGACCTAGCATCTGAATTTTGTGACTGCTGCTGGGATTCTTCACGTCTGAATTGCATTAATGCTTTTAAGAATGTGATAAAAACTTTTATTATTTATAGTAAGACATTGTTACTAACATATAGGAGTTTGTAAATGCCCTCTGTGGATGGCCGCTCACACTGAGCCTGGTTCTGCTGGAGGTTTCTTACTGTTAAAACGGAGCTTTTCCACTCCAGTGTCGCTACAAGCATGCTTGGTGTGAGGGATTGCTTTCGAGTCAATGAGCAAAAAGGCTCACATGAGCAGATCTCTGGCCATCAATGTTCCATAGTATCTGAAAACAGGACGAGCTAAAACTGGAACTGAATTATCATTAAAAATCAAGGTTTCATTCTCATTCCTGCTACATTTACATAAGAAAGGATGAAAAAAATAACTAAAAATACCTAGGAGAGATTTTGGGATATTTGAAAGAAATTACATTTTATGTAAAGAAGCCACTTTTCACTTCAGGTTTTCGTTCGCACATTTTAGTCAACTGATGAATTCTTCTGGATTCAAAAGACCGCCATCTTTGCTTAAAACTAAGGCTTAAAAGGAAAAAAGTATGCCCAAGTTAAAAGGAAACGATGCAAGATCCAGAGATTCAATAAAATAAGCGAAATGTTCCTGTAAGCAGCGTTTCTTGTCAGGTTGTGGCAACAATCATTCCTACAGCAGGACACTGCATCGTTTCCATTCAGGCTTCCTCCATCTTTCAGTTTATAACCTTCAAGATGTTTGATCAGATTGATGGGGAGAACGACGGCTTCTCGAGTCTCTTGACATATTGTCTGACAAGTCTTTCCTTTTTTTCAGCTCTTCAGTTACTGGAGGTTTGTGAAAGCTTTGTTAACCACCATCTCCTGCTAACCCGGAACCACACTCACTTTCCATGGAAGGTAAGAAAGCTGCCATCGAGAGCCATGCAGTCACTTGGTGATAAGTTTGAATGATTAAGAAAAGTGGCTGTTTAAACTGCCAGCTACATACTCAATCCTCTAAGCGGTTTCTAAGCTAAACAGAATGCAGAATGTGACAGCTCTGATGTTGACAATGCTGGATTTTACAATAGATGCATTTTTTAAAAGACATATCGCTCAACGTTTCTGGGAGATAAGACTCTATTCGTTTCCTGACAGATTTGTGCAGCGAGCAAGGAAGGGGAGGAGGGTATCATGTAAATCGATGCTGATTAAAGATAGTGTTTGGCCTCCATTTTAGTCAGCCAGCCCTAAAATCAGCAGCAGCACCGGCTCACACTGCTCATGCATTATAATTAAATTTAAATCACAAAGATACAAGTCTGTTTCTGGAGGATTAAACCACAAGGCTGATAATACCTTGCCCTACGGGGAAGGCATCTTCTGCTTCCATCCGGAAATGCTAATGTTTCTATTATGCTGAATATGCAAGAAACCTCCACATTTTTGGCATTTCTATGAAAAGGCATAATATTTCAGTGAAGCATCCTAAAAGAACAAAAACATTTTAAAAGATCCAGATGCTATTTTAGAACATCAATGAGCAGAAATTATTGAAATCCTATGGTCAATCTTAATCAATAGTGCCACATGGAAAACCCCAATACTTCGTGAAAAATAGAGGATTTTAGACATGGAGAACCTAATTCGCAGAACAAAAATCTGGTCAAAAAGAATAAATTACAAAAAAAGCTCTATATATGCCTGAAAAGAAGACACTGGAAGGACAACAATGAAATCAGAGGCATAGAGTCAACAGAAGAAACCAACAAAGGACAATAACAGCCAACAAGCTTATAGACAGGAGGGGAGAGAGAGAGATCAGGGTAATTAACAGGCCAAGGTGGTAGAATGAGCTAAATAACAAAGATGGCAGTGAAGAGGGAAGAGACTGGGACTGAACAGACAAAGAATATTTAAAATAAAGAACAGAACACAAGATGTATGGAAAATTAAGGATTAAGGTTTTTCAACTATTTCTGTTTGAGATTATGTTACTTCATTATAAGAGGACTTTTTTCTCCTTTTCTATACATCAGGAATATGAGTGGTGGTACTTGAAAATAAAAATCTTGGTGAAAAACAAAATAGAAGTGAATATCCCAGCATATCAAATCTACAGTAAAGAAAAACAAAATGTTCCCAAAGTTCAATCCAAGATTCTAGAGGCCCATTTAACCCGAAGAGGGCGTCAATACATTGACTTCATTTATGCATCCAATATATCAGCTAATCGTTGTCCAACATTTGGAACTGTTTACTAATTCAAAGAGAAAGTAAAACCTGGTGCAAAGCAGGAACAACCTCTTTCCAGTACATAATCATAATGTTTTCTATTTTTTAAAGAAAACTAAGATTGTGTTTTATATAGTTCAGCATCTCTCTGCTTCTATCATGCTGGCTTATAACAAGTCTGAAAATTAAATAACCTCTTTTAAACAATGTAATTTAAAAATCTACTAAATTTTGGGTTTGTGGTGTAGAAAATTAAACATGGTTGCCATCGATGGCTTATTTATAGGAGCTAAATAACTGCATCATCTTTTTAAAGCCAGTATGGCAGAAAGATTGAAGTTTGCAAAGCTGTATCTAAATTAAATTCAAGCATCATTATATGTTGGAAGACTTGAATGCCCTATAGTCCCTTAGTCCACCAGTAGCTCCTCTATAAACTCTAGAATTGTATTATTTTTCAGCATTGCTAATATAAATGTAACTGTACAAGAAAGATGGACTCATAGAGATATAAATGATGATGTTCAGTAACTCCATAAAAAGAACTTGTTGTTGAGATTCTACAAGATTTTCTCTTCTCTCAGTTCCATTAAAGTACTTTATCAGGGGATATCTTAATGGAACTGGTGTTCTGAAGTAGCCTAATTTTCAATAACATTATTTTAGTTTCTGGAGCTTTGACTGCAGATATATGCAGTCACAGACATGTTATATTTAGCTGGGGGGGAAAAAACAAACTGCAAGTATTTGTTAAATACCTTTTTTTTCTCCCCTTTATTGTCCTCAAACACAATATTTTGGTTGTCACTTTGAATTACCAGGTCAAATGTTAATCAATCAACCGGCTAAAGCTTGACCCAGATTGTGTCACCAAGAGGAAGATCATCCCAAACACAGCAGAAAATCCACAACACAGCAGTTTAAAAACAGCAGAACCAAGGTGGAAAAAAATACCATTCTGTGGTTAGAGAGCGGTTCACAAACAAGCTTAAAATGAAGCATTCATTTAGTGCCGCATCTGTGCAGAGAAATCTGAGGGGAAAAAAACTTCAAAGCAGGAGATCATTTATGCATCTATTTAACTTTCTATGTGAAATACAATGATTCGCTAGAGCTACTAGTAAAGCAATTTAATGAAGATATTTTCTTTCCAGATTTTGATTTATTTCTCTGATTCTCCTCAATAGTGTTCCTGTGTATTTCTAAAGCACAGCAGTAATATTCATCCATCTCTAGCTGCACCAATTTCAGTCTCTTCCTGTCCAACCAACAGCAGAAAATCCATCAATAGCTCTCTTTCACACTAGCCCAGATGTCAGCTCAGGGAGCCAGAACATCAACAGCCTCCTATCCACACAGGCAGTAAACAAGCTCTCTAGACACAACCCACACCACCAGTCACTCCCCCGTCCTAAGATGCTGAGCCCTGCTGATATCTGCTCTAAAATGCATTTCAAAGACACTTCTGTATTTTAAATGGACTGCAGCACTGTAAACTTGACTATGTGGAGTGGAGTAACTCAGCTTTACCTTCATCCAAAGCAAAAAGGGAAGACACAAAGAACTTGCTTCAAGTGTCTGCCCTAATTTTGAGATCCATGCGCTGCAGAATACTACAGAAAAGATTACTAAACTCCACAAAGTCACATTGAAATCACTCTCTGAACCCATGCAAATGTGTCTGGCAAACATAGACAGTGGCATGATAAATAAGAGGAACATGTTTATTAGTTTCCCAGCACATCAAAGAAAGGCACTCAAGTCAAATTAGAAATACCTGCAACTACAGAATGGGCGGAGAGAGAGGGGACATGCCTGGAAAGAAGGAATTGCCCTTTCTCCGCCTTGATAAAACTGTTTACAGTCCTTTACCGCACCGTCAGTTTATCTTCTTTTTTTTATTCCATAAAACGCCTAATATTCTGTCCATGCACTCCTCTACTGTTGTTCCTTCTTACTCTGTTTCCTCTCTTGGTCCAGGCTTATCCCTTTCCTCTGAGAGCATCCATATCCCAGCTTCTGGCGCAGCTTTGTCAGCATGTGTGAAGCGCTCGGCAGGACGGGGATGCTCCGTCTGTGATGGGTATGAGAGCACGCTGGAGTGCAGAGGCGCTTTTAACCATGTCTTACCATGGCCACTGAATAAACTCATCTTTTATGGATGCACAGCCCTCCCCACTCCGTATCTCTTAAAGGGCCTGCGCCTCCTCCCTGCTGCCTTTGATCTTGTCCTTACACAGATTGGATTTAACTCTTGTTCTCAAAGGTTTTGTTGGAAGACACACCGAGGTGTGTATTTGGCCTTATTATCTGGACTTGTTGCCTTTGCTGCAATTGATTTTTCATGTAGAAAGGATTCAAGATTAGAAAAAAGGATGAAGATGTTTCTCACATACAAATTAGACAATCTATTGATGGTAATAAATGATGAATTCCAACGGGACACCAAAAAAGGTGAAAAGACTTGCAGACTAAGTCAGTCTCAAATGGTGTGTCTGCCTGCCTGCTTCAAATAGATGCTGTTAAAAGTAATTTCTGCCACGGCAGTAATTTAATCCAGAGTTGAAGGACATGAATCAATGACACACAGAGGGTTTGTCACCGTGACTGTTCAGGGTCAGAGAAGCTGTATGTTGTCCACACTAGGACACCTAATAATGGGATATACTGGAGAAAATACCAGGAATCACTTGGTCACATAAGAGATTCTAGAAAAATAAGCATGCATAGAAATTATCCAGAGTTTCCAGCCCTTCCTGGAAAATGTTTAAAGCAAATATGCAATCCAGACAGTGTAAAAAATTAAAAGGACAGCTGGAAGGAAAGTTGGTTGGTGAAATGGATGGTTGGACAGACAGGAATAAAAAGGAACAAAAGGTCAGATCGAAAAGAAATTAAATGGATTGAAGGAGGAACTGAAGACAAATTCAATGAGAAAAACAAATGGACTGTTTTTATACAAATGTTCACACACTGATAGACAGAATATGGATGGATGGATGGATGGATGGATGGATGGATGGATGGATGGATGGATGGATGGATGGATGGATGGATGGATGGATG